AAAAAGTGCAAAAATTAACATCTCGCAAACACGTCTGTTTTCAGGTGTATGAAACAAGATAAGAAATGACTCGTTGCTGTGAAGGAAGCCTCTCAGTCCGTCCATCTTTTGGTGTCTCCTGACATCCTTCAGGAACAAGACATTTAGATACTTGGACTCATCTGCCTGAATCAAAGACTTACCCCATGATCCAGTTGAAGACCTTGGACTTGGAGGAGACGACTCTTGTCCCAGCTGGTTCACAGTTGTCTGCAATCCTATCCAGTGCACGCTGACGTTCATCTGAAGTCTGAATTTTCCAACTGAACCACATCATCTGCTTCTTTATATGCCCGTCAGAGGTGGACTTTCTCTTGCCCCTCCCATCACGTCCGACCTGCTCAAGATAATTTAACAAAACCTGATACATGCTTGTACCGCCGCTACGCACTGAGTAGCACAATATTTTTCATCACCCCCACTTTAAGGTCAAGATCACAAATCAAGGTCAAAGGTTATAGAAAGTCTATGCTTGTCTATGGACATAGATTGCTGTATTGCTGTATGATAGTACGATGACAATACGCCGTCTGCGGTGCTCGTGTTTTTTCATTCGCACCGCTGCTCCTGAGCTGGGTTTTATTTTTATTGCAGACCAACGTTCCTGACTTTGGCCTTTGACCACACATTAGTTTTCTCTCTGCTATCCATATTTGTTAGAGTATTCTAGCAACATTTTTCTTTTGTGTTCTCTGTCACTTTTTCAACAAATAATTTATTTGTGTCATTCACTGGGTAGACTTGGTTTTAGTGAGCCAACATTTTGCAGCACCGGGGATAACGGTTGCTTTTGTTGCATGTTTTTTCAGGTACTGGGTATTTTTTGTGAGGCGTCATGTTAATTTTTCACTTTGGGAGTGATGGCTGCTCTGTGAGGATCCTCTCTGCAGCTTTCACTGAGCTGCTTTTTAGCTCGAGGATCCATCTCTGCCGCTCCGCACGGGGCTGTTGCTCTTTCTGAGTTTAAATTACGCTGCCTTCAATAGCTTCTCTCTGAGACCATTATCAGGAATTCTGCACACCGGGCTGTGTTTCATCGAGTTTATAAGCCCTTCACATTCACCCATCTTGGTTCTGTTTCTCAGTTTGGTCACATATTGAACAACCGTCTCACTTCTTTTTTCTCTTGCACATGCACACGCACGCACACGCACCAAGAATCTGGGCTTTTCTAATGCCTGTTTTTTTGTTCTTCACTGCCAGTTACAAGCAAATGTAAAATTACTGATAAAATAATATCTCCTTTTCAAACACAGAGCTTCTTAACTGAAGTTTTTTTAATTTCCATTTTTCCAGGTAATGATTTATGTTTTTCAGTCAGCAGGTTAACACCATCGTCCAATGATTACATCTTGTTTTTTGGGTCATACCAGACTGTTAACGTTTAGCTAATTTCTTATTTTTTTTGCTAATTTTGAAACTCCTTTATCCTCAAACTCAACTAGGTGTCTTATTCTGTTTATTTTATTTTTAGTGATGGGAACAGTTCACCTTGTCAAAGACAGTTCCCACCCTGACAATCTACAGCATCCAAATCAAACTGAGCTCAGATTAACGCTCACATGTTATTTTTTATAATCCGATGGAAGGCAGACGCATGATGGTATGGTTTCTGTTCGTATGTCCGTGAACGTTCTCTGATCCTGCCCAAAACTTCTGATCCACAGAAGATGATTTTATGGAACACCAGTGCATCGTCCCTACACAACAAACTGTGTAATCATATACGGATATGTAATCTTTCATCACTTCAGCTGGGTCAAGGTCAGAGGTTATACAAAGTCTATGTGTGTCTGGGCCATTGCCATAGATTGCTGTGTAATAGTCTCATGGGCGTATAAATGCACCATGCAGTACTTTTGTTTTTTGTTAGCAGTGCTGCTCCTGAGCTTGGTTTTAGTTTGTATTGCAGTTTTTATTGCTGTATAATAGTTTGTTAATTATTAGACCTTATTTATTCAGGTTAGTTCTCATTGAACCTCAAAGAGTCATTTACAAGAGAGGCCTGTTCGAGGGTGCACAATATGCAGCTACCCTTGTTGTTGAGGTGCCACAAATTTGTCAAACAATTTTAAAACCGGTTAATAATTCCAGCAACAAGACTCAGCGCCTGTGATTCACACAAGTGGAGCAATGTAACAGGATTTATGTTTAGGTTTAAGTTAACTTTTACATTCTGACAATTACAACCAGAATGGACGCCTCCTCGTAGGACGCAGCGGCTGCACGGCGCTGCGAGGTTGAAGCTGCGTAAAAGTACGGCACGATAAATCTGCTCAGTTGGTCCAGAACCAACCATTAACGATTGGTTTATTTTTAATAGTTTTTGAAGCGTTAGGGACTTTAATCACCTAAATATTTTCCTTGAAGGTGATAAAAAAGGCTGTATTTTTTCATAAATATATCGTTTAACTTTATAAAGCATTAAAAGACAAAAACATGCATGCATACTTGAAAAGCCCACAGGCACACCTGCGTGATTTAGCATCTTTTTCGTTACCAGTCACTCCTAACTCAGTGAAGTTTATGGCAGTTAGCCAAATGGAACCGGCCGACCCATAAAAGCTTCATCCTCCGCTATAAAGCACTAAAATACACTTAAACCATAAGCTGACAAAGAAAATGTGGTTAATGTTCGGGTTTGGAACCCTCAGGGTGTGGATACATTAAGTCATTGATGTACCATCCAGGTGATTTAAGAAGCTTTAAGTGTTTTTTCTTTTCTCGTTTAGAGCGTTCTGTTTTAAAGAGATCGGTGCCTCTTGCTCCACAGAGTGCGCTTCAGGTTAAGTTGTGTAAAAACATTCATTTTAACATGAGCCTGAACCTAAAAACATGTCAGTTTGAAGAACTAGGACAGTCTCCGTTAACATGTTCTTGAATCGTTGGATGGTCTTGGTACATCTGTACTCGTTGGCATTTAACGCAGCGTGATCTCATTTGGTATTTCGTTGTTGATGAATGTGTTCATCCATTTTACTTTTACTCCCTGACATTTAACGCAGGGTAGTTTGATTTAGTATTTCATTGTTTCTAATTATATTTCATGTTTTATGCTTTTATTCATGATGCTGTAATATCTTGTTATTGATATTTGATTCTGTGATCTTTTTTTGGTAAGCACTTTGATAACAGTTACTGTTTTAAATGAGATATATAAATTAATGTGACTTGACTTGACTTGGTATTCTTGAAAACTTTTATTGATAATCTGTTTCAGTATCAAAAACCTGATGATATGCAATTGACAGCTGATTCAGAAACTTTAATTTTACATTTTGAAACATTAAGTTTCCTTTAGTTGGTCTTTAGAACTAGTTTTGGCTCTAAAGTATCAATAATGTCATTAAAATCTTATTGTAGCTGACACAGAGCTGTGAGGTGTAGATATCAAGTTTTATTTACAACAACAACAACAACAAAAACACAAGGACTGAACGGTGAAACATCTGATTAAGTTGGTTGACAGAAAAATGGAAAAAAAAATATAGAAACAAAAAAGAAATAAAGAGTTCAAGCACTCATCCTTAGGGAACACCTTTAATTGACCGCTACCTTTTACCTTCAGTTTATCCACAGTTTTTCTTCAGTTTACAGTTAAATGCTCCATTTTTCTCTTTTCTAGTCTCTCCTGCTCTACTTGCTAATTAAATGTGGGCACACATAATTATTAGTTATATTCATCATTAAGACACAAGTTTGGGTCTTCAGTGGTGCAGTTGGTTAGCTCTGGTGCCTGGCCTTGCAAGGTTGTAGGTTTGACTCCTGGCGGGGATCTTGCTGTGTGGAGTTTACGTGTTCTTCAAATTAATCCATGGGTTTTCTTCAGATACATTAGCTCCAAAAACATGCAAGGTTAATGTTCAACCCTAAATTATGCCTGGGTGTGATCGTGCACAAAGAGTTGTTTGACACTATGTGGTGGACAGGTGATCCGTCCAAAGCGTTCCCTGTTTGTTGACCAAAGATAAGATCCGTCTCCCCTTAACCCCTGATTGGTATTTAGGCATGGCAGACTAGTTTAGGGTTAAGACTTTGGTGTGAAACATTTTGGATTTCCGGGAGCGTAATAAAAACGTGACTTGATTCTTGTCGGCACAAAATGTTTCCACATGCAGTTATAGTTTTGTGTCATGCCTGTTTCATTCATTTCCATTTGACCTGACTAAATTTAGTCAGAACATCATGACACTGACCTTGTTGTAAAAGATTATTTGCAGTGAATTTGTTTGCATAGTATTGCTTTAAGTTTATATATAAAAATAAATGCAATGCAACAATGCTAAACCATGTTTGGGCTGCTGTTGTTACACTCTATTGTTTTGCATTGTTGGTGTTTGGTGTATATTTTAATATATATCTTAATATATATCAGTGTATATCTTACTATATATCTTAGTGTATATCTTACTATATATCTTAATATATATCTTAGTGTATACCTTAATATATATCTTAATATATATCTTAATATATATCTTAGTGTATATCTTAATATATATCTTAGTGTATATCTTAATATATATCTTAGTGTATATCTTAATATATATCTTAGTGTATATCTTAATATATATCTTAATATATATCTTAGTGTATATCTTAATATATATCTTAGTGTATATATTAGCTCCTTATTTACTGTTTCTTTTTATGTTTTATATTTTGTTATTTTTGGATGTAACTGGGACCCTGTGTACATAATTTTGTTCCACCTCATGTACCACATGTGGAGGAAACAACAATGAAGTTGACTTGAACTTGATCACTGGTAAACCTTTTATCTAAGGCTACTTGATGATATATTGGGCAAATTACATCGATTATATCTTCAGTTTCCCTATAAGATTTATTATAAACATAAAAAAGCTTCTAGAATGGTGCGTGAATAAAACAATTGTTGGATTATTGAGCGGGGTTACAAAACTTCATCGGGGCCTCGTCTTCCTGTTTGGTTTGTGCAGGTTCCTTCATGGTTGTGAACGCTTCAGGTCGAGCGTCGGGGCAGAAGGCTCACCTGTACATGCCCACGCTGAAGGAGAACGACACTCACTGCGTCGACTTCCTGTACTCGCTGTCCAGCCGGGACGGAGCCAGCCCCGGCACGCTCAATGTCTACGTCAAGGTGTGTGTCCGTCAGTGTGTGTGTCCGTCAGTGTGTGTGTGTCTGTGTGAGCGACAGCGGCAGCAGGTGATAATAACCTGAGCAGGTAAACAAACACCTGCAGTCAGCCCGCTGTGTGTACTGCGTGTGCCTGTCTGAGAGTGGATGGCAGGTCTGTACGCAAACAGAGCAGCATCAGACATCTTTAACAGGAACAAGATACGGATTGAGGTTGATGGTGGGTCACCACTGTTTGGGTTTCGTTCTTGTATGTTTTCACGAAGGAGAATTCTTTCATTTTGAATTCTGTACAAGTTTAACTCGAGAAATTGTGTTTTCTGCAAAAACATATTGTGAGTGCTGAGGCATGAACGACTTCTGACCTCTGCTCAAAAAGCTACAACAGATTTGTTCAACCTAAAACATCCAGATTAGAGGCTAAACAGCAAAATGCAGGATCAAATGAGAGCTAAGTTAAATGGAGTCATAAAAGCTCAAAGCAGCTAAAAGTATCTAAAACAAGCAGAGCAGTAGCTAAGATTAGCAAAGTGGAAGGTGAAGGCAAAAAAACAGATGTTAAAACAGCTAAAACAGTAACTGGAATTAGTAAGCATTAGCTAAAATTAGCAAAAAAATATGTGCAAGAAATGTGTAAAACTGAAGCTAAAATCAGAAAAACAGATGCTAATGCTAAAATTAGCAGTACATATGCTAAAGTTAAAATTACCTGTGCTAAAACTAAAATTAGCAATCATGCTAAAACTAAAATTAGCAAGCCAGATGCAAAAACAAATGAAACTGTATTGAAAATTAGCTAAATATATGCTTAAAGTAGCAAATGGTATTTAAAAGCTAAAAGTATCTTAAGAAGGAAAAAGCAGTAGATTGACGCATATTTCAAAGACACATTTTTGTGAAGGAGCTGAAAAGATCTCGATGAATCTTTTGTGAATTTTGTTTGGAACACGCAGTAAGTAAATGTTTTGAAAACTTAACCTTTAAATAAGTCTAAGTGCACTCCTGTTTATGAAGCTGAGCATTTTGATACGAACAGGTCAAATAGCAGAACGTAAGGGAAACGGTTTGAGTCCACGATGCGTTCAGGGGACACTCTATGCAGGAAAACGTTGTGAATGCTGACGCAGCCTTCACTTAACTGAGTTTTTATTTTTTATTCTTTGAGGCATCAAATTCCTCGGTGTTCTCTCTGCTCTGAACTCTGTAGCTTCTTGGAGTTAAACCCTCTCCTCCCGTCACCTTCCTGCAGGTGAACGGCGGCGCTCAAGGTAACCCCGTGTGGAACGCCTCAGATACCGTGACCGAAGGCTGGGTGAAGGCCGAGCTGGCCATTTCTACGTTCTGGCCCAACTCCTATCAGGTACTACGCTCACACACACACGAGCTTCTTAGTATTTACTCAGGTATTCCCATCCAGCGGGTACAAGACGGCACGAGACACAGTCATGTCTTCTGTTTTCCTTGTTGGGGTCACTAACAGTGTTCTGGATGGAAGGTGAGGGACAAACGTCCCAATATGAGATCTGTGTGGCTCAGCGTTACCCAGAACTCCGAGAAGAGTTTCTAAAAGCAACTGAAGCTGCTGCTGTAATGGCTTCTGGCTTGTCCGAGTGCCTCTTTGTTTATCGGCCTGTTTAAGGTGCAGAGATTCAGTGAGCAGAGCAGTTTTCAGTGAACAGCTTTATTTTACGTAGTGTCTGAGCCGTGCTCGGTAATTGAAGCCCCCTGTGTGTTGCACACGCCGTAACAAAGCACGACCCAAGTGTGTATTTCTGCCTTCTCCTCTAATTGACCTCCCAAGAAGGCTTCTTTTTTAAATCAGACAGGAAATGTGTCAAACTTAGACTTCTGCAGGTCTAAACGTGCAACAGCAAACTTTCAGCTTTATAAGTCACGTCCTCTTGTTGTTGTTTTGTAACACAAGTGCATTCTGGGTAAGCACATCTTGTAGTCTTGTATTGTTCCAGAAGTCTTGGGCTTCCTTCACATGAAACTTTCCAAACCTGAGTCGAGCTGCCATGTTGTCTTTAGAGACAAGAGGCTTTCTTCTGCAGC